TTTCGTTCGCAATCTCTGCATGTCAGCCAAGGGCCCATGAACCCTCTACCCCCAAAAGCTTAAGCCCAATCGCAGATTCACATTCGCTTCATGGGATATTGTCATAACCAATGTTATAGTCGAGTTAAGAGCCAACTAGTAAAGCTAGTAAGGGTGCCAAATGACCGTAACAACAGCAATGCAAAAGCACCGAGTGACAAGTGCAGTGTAAGCAGCAAGCCAAGCCTTTGCGCTTTGGTCATGGTATCGTCCCAAGCACCTGGGCTGCACGCTCTGCCACTGACAGCGACAGCGGCAGATGGGCGAGCCAGCCTTGTGTGTCCATCAGGAGCACGGCGATTTTTCGGCCATCCTCAGGAATTCTGCAATGCATCATGTTTCCAAGACTAGCCGAGAGCTGGCAGATCCTGATCCCGGAAGACAAAAGGAGAGCTCCAAAGCCAGATACCTTGCGTGCACCTCAGAGACGACGGACCGAACCCAGTGTCTCCGGTATTCGCTTGCCGCTACTTCGGGGCACCAGCACAAAAATGAGAATTGCAGTATTGACGACGATGCTATCCTCGCACCATCTGGCACTTGTATCTGAGGATGGCACTTGTCTTTGCCGGGGCGCCAGGCAAAGCCGGCGCAGGCATCATCCAACTTCGAACCCTGACCACCAAGCAGTTGACTGGGGGGAGATCAAAGCCTCTCGGTGTTTGTGGACACCCATCGTTCTCAATCTGCACAGAAACTTTCAAGATTCCGGCCATGCGATGGATTCGAATCCATCAGATGATGGGCACGTGTTCAAGAAGCCTCGTGGATGCGGGCAGGATCGCCTTCCAGCACCTGAGGAGAGAATCACAGGAAGCAAGTAGCACTGGTAGCAGACAGAAATCGACAGTCTCTGATGGGCGGAGCACCCAATCCGGGGGTCTGCTCTTCTTCCTGTCATCCTTGTCGGGACGATCATTGGGAATTGCGACAGGTTACTGAGCACATCGGTGCGACCTCTCCGAACCGCCAACCATCATCTGCGGGTGCAGAAACCGGCTCTCCTAAGCCAATGTCACTCAGAATCTTGGAGACAATGCAAGGGCCATGTTGATTCGGCGGCTGTTGCGACCCGCAACCGACCGACCGAGTCTCCCAGGAAGAGAAGGGGGCGAGAACCTCTCTTAGACTCTTTTCCTGCCTGGCAACAAGTCTGCCGAGAAACTCCAACAAAGGAGCTTTAGCTCCCAAGTGGCCTTGAGTGTCCAGGCAACCCGGATGCATTGGCAAATTTCTTCAAGCTTCGCCGAATAAGAACATGCTTGCTTGACAGACCCGAACACAACGCACCCGAACTATTTCCATGCAGGAGCAGTCACACCTCACGGTTTTGAAATTGTCTTCTTATGTGCTTGCGCGACGAGTCCTCTCAGGTGTGGTGCAACAGCCGGTTATGTGTGAGGAAGTGGTGGCATCTCGTCCCATGTTTGAAGACAACATCCACCCTTCGCTGCATGAGTCTAGGACTAGGATGCACGGCACACGCATGCACCTAAATGAAATCTGAGACGACACGGGCAAAATCCCGCAGTCGAAACGAGTGGGCTCTTCAAAATTCAATCCCGCAGATCCAACATGTTCTTTCGGTTTGTGTGGGTAACAACTTGGATTTGCCGGAAATCACAGCTGGCCCAGGCAAGAGTTGAGCAGAATTGACAAAGATTCCAGAATGGTACCGTTCTGGAAGGTCTGCAACTCCGCAACGATCACAAAGTTGGGGATTCAAACCGCTGCCAATGGAGGATCCTGTCGTGGCAGGCGTCATGTCAGTTGACCACGAGACGCTGAGTGCACAAGGGGAAAGCTTCTGCCATGCTCTGTCTGTCCAGCTGCATCAAATAGTCGTCGTCGGCTGCCCGTCTGCGCAGCGTTCTTCTTCGGAGCCTGAGGAGCAAGCATCAAGTCAGCAGACAAACTATCTATCGAGGAGAACACAGAGCCAGTAGGCTTCGGGCAGGCCGCACACCCCAGCAACCATCAAGAGACCCACAAGCAGGGGCGAGACCTCAGCATCCCACGTTTTTAGACCTGGCGCCTTGATCACTCCAGCTGAGGCAAGCAGCTGACATTAGCTTGGAGCCGGCCTTCGAGGAGCTGCGCATACGACACAGGTCACTTCCGTTTTAAAATTTAGTTCCACGCTGAGAGAGCAACCGTCTCTGCCAAGGCAGCAGGCTGAGCAGGCTGAGCAGCCTTCACGACCGAAGGGGATCGCTGCTTGCGAAGGCTCCGTTTTCACACCCAAACCGACGGAGCTCCACTGGCCTGGCTCTGCTCCTTCCGTTCCGCCTGCACCCGTAAATCTTAGAGACTCTTCACACGCGGAACGCGGGGGCAGAGAGAGAGACAGAGACAGAGCGGTGTGGAGGGAGGGAGCGAGGGAGTGGGGGAGCGAACAAAGGAAAGAAGGCATCCCCTGGCAAAGGACCTGCTTCGTCCTCTCCACCCTGTCTGAAGGGCTTGACATGCAAACGGGGCAGCACGGAGTTACAGATGTGCAGCAACAGCAAGAAGGTGGGGAACAGCAAGCACGAAGAGAAGTCATAGCAAGCTCGGAGGAACCCGACGGCTCAGGAAGACAACGTGCAGAAAGCGCAGCACTAGATGGAAATCGTCCACATCGTAGGCCACAACAAGTGCACTACGGCGAGGAGTCCAGCGCTCGCCCCCCCCCCCAACAGACAGCGGCTGAAGGGTCCTAGTCGCGACCTTCACAATTTTCAGGGGCCGTTTCAGCAGGAGGGATACAAAAAGCCCTGCATACCTATAACTTCTTGTTTGGTCACAACCCGCATTTGCGGCTTGTGACTGCTTGGGGTTTTCTAGAGGCTTCAAGTCTTGCAATTTACAGCATCAGCAAGGTTTAGGGTTTAGAGAGAACTACCCATGTCCCAAGATGTTCCTTTACTTTTTCAGTTGGGATTGTAGAATATGGCGCAAGACATGCTTTTTTCATACCAGACGGCTGAAGCCTCTGGGTCAAGACCCGGGTGCGGACATCGGATTTAATTTCGACGACCGCAGCTCAACCCAAAGAACCTCCAACACTCTGCCAGGGGGTTCAGCTTTTACGGGCTGGGCGTCATCGAAGCGGGCTTGGTTTTGGGGTTTAGGGTTTAGGGTTAAACAAACATGCACTTGAGGGCATAGGGATTATTAGGGTTGAAGGGTCAAAGTGTTCTGGGTTTATTAGGCTTCGAGGGTTTCAAGGTTCGCTAGGGGTTTCAATGAGTTGAGGGTTTGTTAGGGCATTGGGGTTGTGGTTTAGGGCTTAGGGTCGCTCAGTTACCCTACTTTGTTAGTTGTATTATCCACGGAAGATGTTCGGTTGTCCCCGGGAAGCAAATCGGAGTTGTAGAAACATACTCTCGCAAGAACCCAAGACTAAGAATAGGGGCTAGGTTATGGGTTCAGTTAGGGTTTAGGGGTTTAGGGGTTCTGGGCTTCGGGTTTAGGTGGGGGCCGTTTACAAGCTCAGCCGCCGGTGGCTGTTACAGCTGGTTGCCTCGCCCACCCCCCTTTCTACAAAATCGGCATGAAAAAACAAAAATTGCACGACACGGAAAAAAAAAAAACTACGACTAAGCAAAAAAAAAGTACAACTAACCCAGCTACCGCTCGCAGGGAGGGACACAGTTCCAGAACTCTCACGGATGCTTTGCTACCCATGCTCGGACCAGGATGCTCGAAGCGCGCACTCCGCAGGCCTCGAGCTCTGTCCGAAGGTGCTCCTGCGATTCGGAGCGCAAGTCTGCGATGCGAGCGGCGGCCCTGGCGGCTTGGCCTTCTCTTCTCGACGCTGCTCACGTTCCTTCTTCAGCTCGGTGCTGAGGCGCTCCTGGCAAAATGTCAGCCAACCCATGAGACCAGAAAAAGGCATGAATGTGGTCGAACAGGCATATGCAGATATGCATATCCGTGGTACTGGCGAGCTTTGGCTTCCTGCTCCGCTTGCAGCTCCGCATGAAGGGCCTGCTGCTCCTGCGAGAAGAGGCAGTCTACTAAGTCTGCTATCTATGCCTTTTTGGAACACTGGGGCGAAAATTAAGACCAACTTTCTGCATTGGTGGACCATCGTCTGGGACAACGACCCTAGGAGACTGCGTGCTTTCTTTGTTGTCGCTCCGAATAACTCGCCTCTGACTTGGAGCTTCCGAGCCGGGCTCAGATCAGAGTCTGGGAGTCTGGTAGAGTTGCAGAGTGCAACGTCTTGAAGTCGCCACTCACAGTCTCTTCGAGACTGCGACGTGCCGACGAACTGCCTCCAATGTATTATACAAAAGTCACTGTTCTCCTTGCATGGCCTCGAGGAAAGAACCGGCTAGATGCACTTTGATTTGAGCTATTGCACGGCAATGCCGTCTAATGTGGCTGGGATGACCGCGCAACTACTGGCCACCAACGCATGGGGCCAGCATTACGTCGCAGTCATGCTAGACAGTTGCATTGCAATTCCAGCGTGACTGCAGGAAGACAAGTGAGACTGCGCAGGCCGACACCGACTCGACGTCTCAGGTAGCCTGGGAGCCAAATCCGCTAGGCCTGCCACGGCTCGTGCGAGGACGCTGAACTACGACCCCTCCTCGGTCATGAGAGTAGGCAGGGATACTGACAGGGCCTTCGAAGCTCCACGATACCTTCCGTGTTTAGATCCTGAGTTACATAGTCAGCAAGGCCGACCACTGCAACCCGAGGAAAATCGAACTGAGGGCCAGGCATTGTTTTTTATCCTCAATTGCTGGACCGTGTCGAGAAGTTGCCTGCCTCCTCGCCACTCTTTGCCAGCCTGCATGGCGACAGGGCAATGCGGAGCAACCCAAAGATCTCGGCTACCGGGGCAGCTGAGTGTCTCACCTTTTTGATAGCCTGCACGATGGGCGAGACATTCAGCTGGTACTGGTAGTCGCCACCTTGTTGGGTGCACCCATCACAAGACTGTGTGACGACACAAGGCTTACTAAGTGGCGCGGTGCACTTGACCTACCTGCCGGCTGCAGGCTTCTGCATAGGTGCCGCTCTAGACTTGACGACGGTGGTTTCGAACAGGGTTTTGCAGCCTCGTTCCACTTGTGGGCTGTACGCTGACATGGAGAAAGTTTCGTTCCCGTTGTTTCTGCTTTCCCTCTCACGCAGATGAAGGCCTAAGTGTGCATTGCAAAGGTGTGCATCGAAGGTAGGGGCATCAAGGGAGGCAAGGAAGCAAAGTGCCGGCAGATCTGCTCAGGATATCTGCTGGACCGACACAAGCGAGGTGCAGCCCGAAGGGCCACTCCGTGCATGGAGAAAGCTTGGACTACAAATCAAAATGGGCCCGGGAGCTGCGCAGAATTGCAATTTGGATTGTGCGAAGGTAGTTCGGCACTCAAAGTAGACCTTCCCAACTTCACAGGCAGGATTAAGACAAGTTGTTTCGTTATAGCATGCAGAGTCGCAGCTCTTAAGGCGCTGTTGAGCTGCGAGAGAGCGACAGGGTCCCAGCCCCCAGCCCTAGAATCTGGAAACCACCGCAAGGCAATGAAGAGGCCTGGGTGGCTGCTTGCTGATGCGACACGACTGGGGCAACCACTCTTCGCCAGAATCAAAGTTCTCCTGGCCGTCCTGCAGGATTTGCCCGTGAGCACGATTTCTAAACTGAGCAGCAGTTACCTTGCCAGGACGAAGTATAACACTGCTCCGCCTGTAGACGAGGTCAATGGCATGCAAGGCAGAAGCCATGTTCTCGCCGGACCTCGCCAAGGAAGGGCAGCTTCGATCGGGCGCTTCGAGTAGTACAGGCATGAGCCGCTGTAACTGATTCTGTACCACCAAGGCCATTGCGTGTCAGCCATGTCGTCGCCCAGTCCCATCCTGTCACTTCATCGTGCTCAGGAGACAGCAACAAAGGAATTCTAGGAATGCATTGTGACACGTTGCACAGGGCAGAGTCTAGTCTACACCGAAGTCCTGAGCATATCGGGACCATAGTATAGCCTCAGTCAAAGGCAAAGATTGTCCAGATTTCGTCAGCTTGATCTAGTGTCACGAGCCAAGTGCATTATCTGTGGTCCGACAGGGCTTCCTGCTAGCTCCTGGCACAAGCGGCAGTGTCACTCAAGTGGAGGGGATGGAAAGGCAGAGCTCAGAGACCCTCCTGCACTAAGGGATGGAATTCATCCAAGAGCAACTCAGAGACCTCGCACACGACTCAACACAAGCCGCCAGAAGCTGCCAGAAGCTGCTAAAGCCACGGAAGTCCCCGCCTTCTCCGGGTTCTTGTATGTGTTTCGAGTCAAAGCCAGAACACGAAGAACCGCAAGGCCAGTTTCATGGCAAAACACCTGCGGACAACCGAGCAATGTAGCTTTCACCAAACAAAACCGGGAAACATCAGTGAGGGTGGTTTCGAGGCACCTTGCTTTCGCACATTGTGGCGAATTTTGCCTGCCAATGGCTCTGTGACTCTCTGACAGTCTTACATGAAGTGTACAGCATGCACAGCTAACCCTCCTGCCTCAAAGTCGGGATACGCCTTCTTGAAATTTGTGTACAAGAAATTAAAATAAAGAGTCCTCGGCGCTTCGCTTGCATCGGATCTGCAACCTGCCCTTTCAATGCTGAGCTTTGCTGCCCTTCTCATTTGCTGCGAGCATCCGATCATCGATCTTGGGATTGTCCACAAGTTTGGCGATGAGATCGTCCATTGCCTTGCACGTTCTGCTCGCGTCTTCTGCAGGCTGAATACAAACGTCTCCTCAGCGCGGCACGGCGGTAAAGCCCATGTAAACGGGCTGTATGGCTATGGGAAAGATGAACTTCTCGTTGCAGGCTGCGCCTGGCCCGACAACTCTCATACTTCCAACTCATTGCCACACGGCTGCTGGAGCCTGCAATATCAAAAATGGAATGATAGAAGTAGTAGTGCAGGGTGCCTGCCATCAGGCCACGTGCCAGACAGTAATTCACGGGTGCAGCTGCTACAGGACACGAAGCAGGTTGAGCAGCTCGCCATTCATCAAGTGCTTCCGGTCCAGGTCCAGCAAGCCCTTAAAGTTTATGCAAGCTATTTCTCCTGAGTAGCACCAGGCACCAAAGGGCACTAGCGACAAGGTGTTTTTGGCTGTGCACGGGGGTCCTTGGCCTAGCTGCGGCAGCTGAAAATTGGTGGCGAAACCTGCCAGCATTCGGGAATAGTGTGCGAGATTTCGGCAGAAAACATGATTCCCCGCCTGCCAATATGGACTCCTGCCGGGATGGCGTGAGTTTCGCAACCTTGGAGAACAAGGCAATGCTCTGATTTTCACTTGAACGTCTTAGGCGGGAGCAACCTCTCAGCAATGCTTTCCAAACCGAAGAAGCCAAGAAACAGTCGGCAGCAGCTTCCTGTCGGGAGTAAAAACACCAATGCGGCATGCCACGACTTCATTGCAACGTGGTTTGGCGAACACACAGGATTTGCAAAACCACACTAACATGCCCAAGCCTTCGACTTCGACTCTGAACCCCAGGATTCGATCTGCTAAAACTCCTTCTTTTCACGCGCATGGCCCACAAATTGGTCCCGTCTGCACCGACCTAGTCAGAGGCACTTGGAGACTTTCCGGTAAAGCGGAATGTTGTCCATCCACAAAAGGGAGCGCGAGGAATGCATTCGGCGTATTGCCGTGAAGAACTCATGATCTATGAAAGTGTATCGGTGGCGCATCTGAGCGGAGGTAATCACTTCTTTGCGAGGCTTCCGCAAGGCAAGATTCAGCCCAGTGTGCCTTGTATGCGGCCGACGGCATAAAAGTAGCCTGCGTTTGGAGAGATTCCGGGTGACGATATAAATGTGGCGATTTTGAGAGTACAACTGGGAAGGAGATATAACTCGTCGAAATGAAAAAGCTAAATCTGCAAAAACTGATTGGAGCATTGAGCTGTAGCAGGGTTAAGTACCCAATGGTAATAAGAGGATTGATCTTAAAGATGCGGCGCAAGCACTTAAAGTGAACGGAGTTTATTCCCCCCATCATTGTGGGATTTTTGCTTTATTAGAGGCCATCCCGTCCTCCTCTTCCTCCCGCGCCAGACCCGCGTCTCCCGCCCACAGCACACAGACACGCACACATGCACACACCGCCTCGAGAGGCACACACACACAGACTGTAGCGGGCTCTGGGGGAGGCGCGGGGCGCTCGGGACGCCCTGCTCTGGAAGACTGTGGCGCCACCGCCGAACAAAATATGTTCGAAGAACCCTGCACGCCGGGAGTTTGCCCTTTCCAAAGTAACTGCCTTTGTCGGCCCCTGTGCAGAGATCACCATTGGAATTGGTGGTGTTTGAGCTATACTGCCACAGTGCATCTGATGATCGTGGTTACAGGTGGAGCAAATCTTATTTGTGCCTGCGAGAGACATGCCACTGCGGCATGGGAAAATGAGCTCAGGGTCGTCCAAGGCACGGCCTCTCGGGCGGGTTTGCCTTCCATTCTGCCGGTCCTCTTCACGGCGGCAGCGCGCGGAGTTGTGGTCCGGGTCATACCTGCTGGTAACCTGTGTGCCTTGAGGAGGGATGATGCTCAGTCATGGGAGGTTCTGGGGCCCCGATCACCAAAGGGGGTCCTATGTCCCCAACGCGAGGAGGGAGCGGAGTCAGTTTTCATGCGCTACACAAAATCCACTTGGCGTCCTCATCCTCTTCGTCACGTTCCCACTTCTTTCGAGGAAACCATTCCTGCTGGCGCTTGCCTTTGCCTTTGCTAGGAAAACCTTTACCTTTGGAGCCTTTCTGACCTTTTCGACCATAATCATCCAAATCGAGACCAAGATCATTAACTGTTTGCTGGATTCGGGGCTACATTCCTAAGAATCCCTGGAACACAAGGTTGGGGTTCTTCTCTGGTTGGGTCTCATCTCGACCGGACAGAAACTGTAGGGAAAAGAGCGAATCAGCGAATTGGGCGAATACATCTTCACTGGAGACATTGGAGCCATCTTTAGAACGGCTAAGGTGATAACGGAAGGCCGTCGTGGCTGAAGCTTGCAAGAACTGAACAGTAGAGGCCATCCTATCCCAAAAAACCTAGGAAACCCACTCTTGACAACCTCAAAGAGCTCCGGCGCAACCAAAATAGAGCAGCTGTACTGGAGACTGGAGGTGCTTGTCGGGCAGACGCTTGAAACTTGCTGTTTCAACATCGGTGCATATCGGTGCTTTGGTGCTTCGTGATTCACAGTGTGCCTGAACCGCACGTTCTGCAATCACAATTGTGCTTGGATCGGCTTCGCTTTTTGCGGCCGCTTCTTGAACCGATGTGCCCAAACCGGACTTCCGTGCAAGATGACGTAGAACTCTCATACGACAGCTGCATGTCCGACATGACATCATTCGGTGAATGAACTGGCAGGCCACGACTTTGGGCGTTTGGCTGTCCTCTTCAGCTCTGGATCTCCAAGTGCACACGCAAGCGACCGATCATGGTCGTCCGAGCCTCAGAAAACGAAATCTGCACACCCCCACTGCATTCAAAGCCATTTTCACAGGGTTCGGGACGCATGTCGAACGGAAGGGAATCGTTGACTACCTGCAAACGGTGTCTCCCATTTTTGGAGCGCCGTGCGCACGTAGGCCCATGACCGCTTGCAGCAGCGTTTAGCAGCAGCCTTCCGAAAGCCGTCGTTCTTGCCGACGTCGTGAACGACGAGGAAGACCTCATACCACTGCTGTGCGGGCAGCCTGAAGACTCTTGTCTCGGGCTAGCCCGATCGCAAGCACACCACGTCTCGTCTGAGCCTCCAACCAACATTCCCCACCAGTCATCTTCACAGGTCATGTGAGCTGCAAACTTTCGGCAGAACTCTTTGTAGTCATCTTTCTTGTTTCCCATGTTAATGAATTTTCCTGGAACCTGGCACAAACAGAGTCGAAGGAAGCCGAGAACGCTTCACGGAACAAGGCCGCAAACAGTCGCATGATAATTTCCCACAATCACCCGTCCTTGTCCATACTCATAGGTCCGCGCTCGCCGGCGGACACACATTCGAGGCCAAAGTCTTCCTCCCGGAAATCTCAAAGTTAGCTGCCAGCAGTGCTCGAAGCATCTTGAAGCCCCCGTGGGTCCTCCATAAAGGAGGAATAACATGCCAGCAATGCAATGATGGCCCCGACTGTTCCTTGAGACTCGATGGATTGCACTACGGATTACGGATACCGATTCCAGCGTAAATTAGCTTCCGTCGTGCACGCCATCCAAGCCAGAGAGCGATAGTACTCTGTCGGGCTGCCCGAAATCTCCTGCAGCAAAACGCTAACGGACGCACATCTCGCTCTTTATGGAGGATTGCTGGCTCGGTACGGCTCCTCCACTCCAGGACTTGTCTGAATTCTGCCTTGCTTGTAGATGCCCAGTTCCGGAAAGGTGTCATCAAGCTCTTTCAGGAAGTCCTCAAAATTTGCAAGAATGTCTAGGGCCCAGGGTGTGGGGGAAAGCGGCTGGCCTTGTTCTGGACTGCATCTGGAGCTGCTGCGACACCACCGCCGGCTTTTAGGAGATCCACCAACGGCTTGATCTGGCACACGGCACTGCTTTTGAATAGGTATGGCGGAAGCGAGGAAGCACGGCCAGCCCCTGCCTTCCGTCCTGAATCCTCGATGGGAACATCCCGGCAACCTCAGGGCTGGTACTGACAGGATTTCATCCGATCAGACCCCTCGGAAAAGATTGCGCGAGCAGGCAACGAAACGAGGCTTTCGGCAGAGAGAGAGGCAGCGAGCTCTTCCTGCATTATCTACAGGGCTTATTGTCCGGTGCCATTGCTTCTGTGAGAACTCATCTCATTCTTTGTATGTCCCGGCTCGCGGCTTGTTTTCACGAGCATGGGCTCCGACTTCCAAGGTCGGAGTGCCGACACAATGCGACACCCCCAGGGCGGGCAATCGCTGCTTGAGCTGCGGCTTGCTGGCTTCCCTCAAAACCGCCAATACCAGAACAGCAACTTCATAAACTTCACATCCATCATCAACCTCCCCTCTGACGTCTCACGGTCGGACGGTCGCGAGGATTCGTCAAGTGTCCAAGCACGACACAAGTTGCGTCGCTTCCGCTCGCCCGGGGCCGGCATGTTATGGCATGTTGACCACGTCTTGCCGTGCCAGCGAAACGCATTGAAAAGACTTCGTCTCTGCTCGGGTTAAATCGGGCTGTCCGACAGGTCATGAAAAATCTTGCTGGCAAACATGACGGATGCAGGTGCCTTTGCTCTCTCGGGAAAGCACTGATGCATGCTTGGTTCCCCATGACGCTTGGGAGCGGCCTGGTGGCACTCATGCAGCCGTTGCTAACTGCACCATGGAACGGCCCGGAACGGCCTACTTCAAGAAGGTCTGCACACCTCACAGCTTGCACAGCTTGCACTTGCTTGCAATCTTCAAACTATCAACACAATCACCAGTTCGCCTGCGGAGTAGCAGGCCCTTCTTGTCGCAGCGCGGTATCGGAAGGCGGGACAGAGTACATGCTTCTCAAATGGCTGCATCAGAACGGCAGATCCATCGGTCCTAGCTACGCCTTCAAAGAAAAGCTGCATCTCGCAACAGCTGTGAGGAGGACATCTGCCCTGGCTCCTTCTGCAACTTCTCGTTCTCCCGCTGCTCTTGCGTCTGCTCGGGCACCGGCCTTGGTACAATAAGTCGCCTTGCCGAGCATCGAGGGAGGCATGCTGAGCCCAGCACTCTGCAGACGTACCAGAGGCAAAAAGTGTTGGCCTGAGCAGGGAAAGGCTGAGCATCGAGGAAATAATGGAAATGCCCAGTTTATGGTCAGCACGCACTGGGCCCAGATGCAGACGGCTGGTCCTGCAAGCGAGTTGTGCAGACTCAGTACACCTGAGAGACACCTGAGAGACGTCATCAGACGGGCTCTCACCTGCATGTACTTCTGGTAATTGCCTGCATACTGGGCGATGTACTTCCTTGGCACGCGGCAAGGGTGCTTCACCTGATGCCCCACCCTTGCACATGATGTGCACAGATTGTTTGCATCAAGTTCGAACCCTGTTGGAGCCAAGCAGAACCCAAGGCAAAATTCCGAAAGGAACGAAGAAGCAGAACAACCAAGACTCTGGAAGTTTCCCGACTTGCCTTTGGCATCTGCAGCCGAATCACCGCGTTCTTGCCTCATCAAAGGTCATCTTAAGCATTGTTGCCCAATTAAACCCAGCAGCCTGAGGAAGAAATGCATCTGGCTTTCGAACCGAACTCTTCGGGTCTGTCTGTTGGAAATACGAAACCTCAACCTAACCCTAAACCCTACACCCCTAAACCTGAACCCTAAACCTTAAACCCCAAACCGTTAGTTAGGCTTGGCGCTCCGATAGTACCCTGCCCGACAGTGCAAGGGAAAGCGATTCGAATCTTGCGTGTTTTGTAAGCACTGAATTTCACTGAACCCCAAACCTTGCATCCTTAATAGCGAGAATGAGTGGTTGAAGTGGAGACCCGTATCACTTTGTGTTGGCCGAGCCCTGAGGAATCTCGAAATCACCCGGACCACTTGTATCAGCTGGCTGTGGACCACTGCGAACCCTTCCAACATGCTTACACAGAGCATCACGCGTAGGACTTGCTCCAAATTAGCCATTTCCGGCCGCGGGTGCCAAGTCACACATATTTGGAGTAGTCATCGGCGTAGGCTTTCATGTAGTGCTGGAAGCCAGCAGCCTCCTGCTTGCCTTTGTTCAGCTCATAGTTCTGGTAATCACTGAAGTACTTGCCAAAGTCGCCAGCTGCTTGGCTTCCCCTGGCGTGCATGTACTTGTGCAAGGAATCTGTGTAATTCCCCATGAAAGCTTGGAAGCCCCGCGGAGCACCCTGGCCGTGAGTGGTCAAATACTGCTGGTAGTCGTCATGATTTCCCATGAAGCTGTTGAGATCCGGCTGATGAGTGCCAGCTGCGAACACGACCGGCGAGGCTGTGTCATTGGCGCTGTTGGAAGCTGACTTCTGGTGGTGCGCTGAACTGCCATGGCCCTCGCGATTGGTGTGTCCTTCCCTGTCTGGGGCTTGCATATATTTATCGTAATCGGCAGCAAACTTTGACGTGTACCTCGAAAAATCTGGAGTGTGTGAAGTCTGACCGCGCATGTATTGCTGATAGTCCATATATTTCTTGAAATCGCCAGTGCCGACTGAGCTCTGCCCCATGTAACCATTTGCATACTGATCCATGAACTTGGAATAATCTTGCGAACCTTGGCTTTGGCCCTGCACGTATTTCTGGTAGTCGGATGCATACTGGGACATGTAGTCTCCTCCCGAGCCGCCTTGCCTGCCTTGCCCTTGCATGTACTTCTGGTAGTCTGCGTAGTCTTTCATGTACTTGGAAAAGCCTCCTTGCGAGCCTTGTGTTTGGGAGCCCTGCCCTGTGTACTTGGAATAATCACCCGCGTACTCGGCCATAAACTTGGAGAAATCACCTGCTAGACTGAAACTGATCTCAAAATTTTTCTGGAACATGACGCAACCAAGAACACTTTCCTGAAATATCCTTAATGACCGGCTGGAGGAACGGCCCAAGGTTGGGGAGTCTATTGAATCTTACGGCTTTCTGCGCTCTTTCGCGTTGAATCGACTTGTAGAATTCTGTTGTTTACAGTTGGCAGATCTCTCGCCTCCTTGGTCACTGTACTTCTGGAAATCCATGTACTTCTGGTACCCGCCACCGCCTTGCGAACCATGTTGCTGAATGTACTGCTGGTAGTTCTTCGAGAAATCATCGCCGGAGGACCCGTGCCCTTGCATATACTTCTGAAAGTCTGCGTATCCGTCCATGTACTGGGAGAAAGATGCACCACCTGTGGCAAAGCCCTGGTTCAAAAGGCATGCGCAATGATGTATGCAGGTCTGTGGTGAGTGTCTTGGGTACTGAACCTCTCCAGTTTGACGCAGCACACCAATTGATTCCACCTGTTCCTACAGTTTCCGAAGCAAGGCTGTCTACAATGACGAAGGTGTAAACTGTAGCTACGATTTGTGCGTTGACACAAGTAGCTTTTCCGCTCGCCCGAATTTCGTGGTCGGTTTCAGTGCCGGTTTCAGTCCCGCTTCTGCGTGGATCCACGTTCATGGACGATGACAGCTAATGAGCTGAGAAGTTCCTCCTGTCGGATTGCTCATAAGGCTCCATAGTGGTAGCGTGCACAACTAGATGATGCCAGCTTGTCGAACATAATGAACGGGGCAATCATGCGACAATAGCATGTGTGGAAGAGTCGGCGAAAATGTTCCTACGAGTGCCCATGGCAAGGATCTAACTCGCCATCGTTCATTTCCGGGCTTGCGTTTCTCATGCTTACTGCGATATCATCCCCTGCCTTGCGGAGCCTGTCCCCCGTGCATATACTTCGTGAAATCCATGAACTGCTGAAAATCGCCTCCGCCTTGAGATCCTTGGCTTCCGCCTGGGGCCTGACTCTGCATGTAAGGCTGGTAGTCAGATGCATACTGATCCATGAACTTTGAAAAGTCTCCAGCTTGAGTGCCCTGAGCGTGCTTCTTTTGGTAGTCTGCCGCATACTGATTCATGTAATGCGAGAAATCGCTGGGTCTGCTAGCTCCCTGGCCCTGAAGATATCTCTGAAAGTCCATATAGGAGGGTTTCTGACCACTCCCTCCATGGGAGCTTGCCAAGGACAGGGGGGTCGCAGGCTTCTGAGTTTCTGCCTGTGCCTTGCCTGCGGCCTTGTCGCCGGACATGAACTTGCCTGCATACTGGCCAAGGAACGACTCATATCCATCCCCGGCATGCCCTCCATTCATGTACTTGGTGTAGTCCCCATACTGCTGCATGTACTTCTGATAATATTTTGTAAATCCAGATCCACCTGCAGATCCCCCACTGCCGATGTACTTCTCATAATCACCGGCATACTGGTCCAAGTACCTTTGATAATCTCCGCCGGCCTGAAGCAGTGCGTCACCCTTCTGGCAAAGAAACTACTCAAGAGTTGCTTCTGGCTTGAAGGTCATGCATAATGTCAAGCACCTGTTCGAACAATGCAAATGCTAGGTTCGAGTAACGAATCACGCGCGTTGCGGTCCGAACCCGCTGAGCTGCATGCGCCTGCTGCTGAGCTAGTGCAGCTGGAAGAAGCGAAATCCAAGCAGCAAAAGCTGCCATGACCTGCAGTGTGCGGAAAGTCGAACAAACCTAACGATTTCGATGACTTAGTGTTCGGCAGAACAATCTGGCTGTAATCGGCAAAGGCACTCGCTGCTAAGAGCACCAAGCCAGCAGCGTGCAATCGCCCACGCGGGCGTGAATGTCTACACTGTGCAGCCGACAACTAAAGCCATCAGCCAAGCAGGATGTGACGATTGAAAAAAATGACAAGTCAAGGACGCATCTGGGAAGATGTTTCATGTTTGGGCCTCACGCGCTGAGCAGGCAACGTTGCCACCTTCGACAGGAGACACACCACGGCTGTGGCAAGCAGTGTGCATCCTCTCACATGCTGTCGCGTCCCATCCCTCCCCACTCTTCGGCTCTCCATACACCAAGGCTACCACCTGAGAAGGGTCTTGAGTCAAAGCGTCAAGCTGCACCTTCTCCAATGCCCGTTCCTGTGCGAGCAAACTATTTCTGCGCCAGCAGTGGAACTTTGAACCGAACGACATGCATGCAATCCATGACAAGGCCTTTGCAAGTTCCTTTGCCGCCTGTTTCTTCAGATACCGGGCCAACAAATCAAGCAGGAAGCTCTTGCCCGTACGATACCTGCACGGTGCAGGACACAACTTGCACCACTCAGATTGAATTTCGTGCTGTCGATGTACGTCCCCATCACGGCAATGATGGAAACGTAACTGGCTCCGGACTCGTTGAGCTTCGTGCCTCACATCGAAACAAGTGTGGCTTTCAACCGCACACATGCGGTGTTCACAGCCGAGAAACTTATCTTGTCCAGATTTTCTTTAAGAATCTCCACCTCCGACGACTCCTCGGTATCTCGCAAAGCTCGAAAACGGCGTGGTCAGCAATGTCACCCAAGCTTGGCACCGCCTTCAATTCCAGAATCTTGACGGGGGCATTATCTGCTCCTGCCCGAAGTTAGCACAATGCAAGACCTTCCCTCCATAAGTGGAAACATGACGCGCCACGCAAGTTGCAGTCCTTTCATGTTTCACTTCCCCAGATCCACACATCCATCTGGGTTATGCTACTGTTCGGGCGGAAGGATCTAGCTTGAACCTGAACAAACAAATATGCACATAATAATTGATCAAACACAACGAATCATGCGACACGAATCTCGCAACCCAGCAATCCAACAAACCACAAATTGCACTTGTCCGAAAGTTGGATGTTCAAACAACCAGCAAGTGTCCTGGCAAAAAATACATAACATACGTTGTGATACATTGTATTGGCCCTAATCCATGCACGGATGATGGACTGTCTCCGTGCCGCTAAAACTGACAACAACTTGTCAAATCGATCGTGCTTTGAAGATGCCAACCGATAAAACATCTGGCGGATCGAAATGTCGCGAGGCATCTGCGCAAGTTTGTGTCCTTCCATAAAAATGTAGTGTGCACCGAATCCACACCTGGACGAACAGCAGCTCACAACAGTCGTAATGTAGGTTGTGACTTGAAGCATGCATGCAAGAAACTCGCTCTCTTTTCACAAGTGCTGCTCAGGTTGGCGGTCTGGCGAGTGCACGCAGCCGGCGGGGTCTGCAAACAAAATGTACGCATGCTGGAGCCACACGTAACGACTGTTTATGCCAGCATAAAAAACAAAGCAGAAAACACCATGATGACGGAAAAGAAAAGTGTCTTGTGAAGCGTTCTCAATTTTCGTTAATGTTGCATGCAACTAAAAGCATGCTGCAACTCGCTCTCTTTTCACGGTGCTGCTCAGACTGCTGCCTGGCTGAGAACGATGATTCAGACAAGTTGCCAAGCGTCAAACTCCAAGTCTAAACTCTTGGTGTATGTTCATGGCATGGAGAGCCTTTGCCAGCAACGAATCTGCACTTCAGTGTACAACTCTAGTTCTCACTTGCAGCTTCGAAAACCCCGCCCATACCCTTTTACTCAACCACCGTCGAGCACGTGCCTACACTGGTCCGAACCTCGTCGTGCTGATTCTTCTCAAAACATACGTGGTGGCCTAATTTAGACAAGAATCGGATCCAAGCTCTCGTCTAGCGATGCAACACGGTCAAAAACAAAAAAGAACTGCCCAGTGCGAGCAGTGTGCCTGGTGGAACTGAACTGGGCGCCAGACACTTTTCTTTTGTCTTCTATTTTTGGAACATCCCTACCGGACATCCTAATGGATCCAAACCTTGAAGTCCGGTTCTGTCACTCTGCTGGACGGCTCGAAGCTGGCTCCACGTCAAACGGTACTTGCCGTCACAAGGATGAAGCTCCATCGTCTTCAGCTTCGAAGCCTTCGAAGCCTCCCTTCCCTTCGTTCTCCGCCTTCAAAGCCTTCGAAGAAGCTTT